CAGAAGCAGGATTAAACTGAAGAACATTTTGCTTCTCACTTTTAAAATGTGAACTATTAGAAATGAAGGCTCCAATTTGTCTGACATGATAAAAGCATGTGAATTCAAGCCACTAGGGCTTCTGTTGTGATCAGGCAATCGGTCTGTGTGGGTGTCATATAACAGAAGTCTCTGTAATGTTTAACTCACTGGCCACCAGGTCATGTTCTTCCCAGCGAGGAAGTATCCATCCACCGTGCTGCGCTTCGTCCTGCACATGGACTAGCAGAAAAATGAAAAGCCTCTTAAGATACAGTTACAGAAGATATTCAGTTTGTCAAGTATAAGTTGGCATTGAATTTTATTTATTTTTATTTTAAAGTTCTTTGTCTATGTGCTATGAAAAGATTCATTCTCTAGCAGTTATCTTCCTCTTAGTTGGTTTGGACCATTTGAAGCGCTGCTCTAAATGAGGACAGCTGAATTCAGGCAGCAAGTTGCCACCTGTCTCCAGGTGAAAGAAAGGGTGCGAGACCTGTCCCGGGGGCACCATCAGTTGGAAGTTTTGGAAAAAGCAGAAAAATCATGTCTGTATTCTGCAACTGAACAGTGCCTTGGGACAACTCTCATCAACTAAGAAGTGAACAGACTTCACTGATTAAGAGCATAGTAGCATTTCATTGCAAAGCAGCAAAAGGAAAAGGGCAATAATTTGTACACAGCATGTTGGTTTCTCTCAGTTTGTGACATCTTAGAAGACTTATCCATGCAGAACGGTTTATGCTGTAGAAATGGTTGGTGTCAGTGTTAGAGCAGTGACCCGTTTCTTTTCTGCTGTACTTGCCCAAAAGCCCACAGCGAGTATTAACAAAAAGTAGACCACCAGCACCACAATATCCACAGTAACCAGGGTGGTTCTGTCCCCTGTGGAGGGCTGTGGAGAAGGGGTCATGCTGGTACCATGGTGCCCTACTGCAAAGCCAAAGGTCATCTGGAAACAAAGAAATGAATAAATTCAGTTCTCTGCTGTGCTTCAAGGTGGAAATGTAATAAACTGTTAACTGTTGTTGCAGGATGTCATTATATATCTTACACATTTGGTTCTTGATACCAACTACATTTACTTCTGTACACAATTTAAGTATAATTGTTAGGTAGTTGTATTTCTTCATATCCTACTTTCCAACTCTAATTCATAACATTCATTTGACAGCTACAGCAGCTTTGTAGATAAGCTGACAAAACATATCATGAGCTCATAAAATACTGTATGATGGATCGCAATAAATTCAACTACCCAACAGTTTATAATCTGGGCAGACACATGTGCTCATAAAACATTTAAATCAGCTCCACCTCGATTTTAACATGTTCCTCCATGCAGTATACACTAAGAGTCCTAAAGAGAACTTACATACTCAGAGCTTACATTTAAAATATTTAGTTGGCCCCTCTACTTCTCTGCCTTGGTGCCCTTTAAATTTTTTTTTTTTAAATGAGGGTTTGAAAATTCTGTTGTTGACATTAATATGATGTGATGTGGTTTCTCAGCCCACCTCTCAGCGGGTCAGTGATGGTATTCAGAAACGCTTTGCAGCTAAACATTCTTAAAGCATCACCATTTGCATCTTAAAATGCAGTTTTTTCTTTGTGTGCTTTCATTTATATTTTGTTTTTTTTATGCTTCCAATTTTAATAGGGGGGAAAAAAAAATCTACATTTATTCTGTGCAAACATGTTTATCTAAAGCTAATACGAGGCTTCTTCATTCCAAGTTAGACAACTACAGTGAGTATTTTTTCCAAGATGTGGTCTTTTTTACCACATTTCCATCCATTTTCCTCCGCTTATCCGGGACCGGGTTGCGGGGGCAGCAGTCTAAGCAAAGATGCCCAGACTTCCCTCTCTCCAGACACTTCCTCCAGCTCCTCCGGGGGA